TATATACTTATATATACATTGATATATAGTGGAGATTTACTTCTTCTTTCGTGTGGGTCCAGCAGTGGGAGAGAAATCGTCAGAGCGAAATTATGTTCGTCCTACGAGAATTTTGCTAAGAAACTAGCACAACTTACTTCTGAATGGAGAAAAAACTGCAATATGTCAATTTTGCCTTTTCAATTAGTCCCGCACGGGAATTATGCTCCTTTGTGTGAGAATGATGCTCAATCAAGAAACCATCAGAATTTTGTATGCCTTCATACAAACTGTATTGTCTAGGTCACGAGAATAATGCTTTTACACGAGAAATATGCTATTTTCTGTGAGAATTATGGATATCATCTCCAACATATTATGCTGTCTTCACTAGAATTTTGTATCACTTCATACAAACTTTTTCTTGCCTACTCCACGAGAATAGTGCTGTTACACGAGAATTATGCATCTAGTCTAGAAGGAATTATGGTCTGTACACGAGAATTATGCTGTTTTGTGTGAGAATTATGCGTAAATCTCAAACATATTGTACTTTGTGTGAGAATTATGAGTGAGTACGAAACATATTATGCTTCCTTCACGAGAATTTTGTATCTCTTCATAGAAACCTTTTCTTGCCTAGTCCACGAAAATAATGGTTTTACACGAGAATTATGCTGTTTCGTGTGAGAATTATGAGTGAATACAAAACATATTATGCTTGCTTCACGAGAATTTTGTATCTCTTCATAGAAACCTTTTCTTGCCTAGTCCACGAAAATAATGTTTTTACGCGAGTATAGTGGTGTTTTCTCAAAGAATTACGCATGTAGTCTGGAAGAGATTGTGGTCTCGGCACGAGATTATTGTGTCGGGGAATTATACGAGAACTGTTCTGGTTGGCTTGAGAAGTTATCGGGAGACTCCTGGAGAATTTGTGTGTGTTGTTCGGGAGAATTGTCGTGTTTTGGAGCGATAGTTGTGCTTTGGGTTAATGCTGATTGTGTTGTTTGGAGGGTACACTGCAAACAAGATGTGCATATTTTGTTAAAGAAATTCATTTCAAGTGAATGATTTTTGTTCATTCACTTCCCATTCACTATGTGTTGATGTATTTGAGTCATTTTTATGTTATGCACTGAAAATGGATGAACTATGCACTAAAATGCCGCGTTTAGGCACATGTTAGTTACATCGGTAGTGCATAATCCACTGTATTTTCGTTGGACTTTCAAAGCATCGCAGTACATAATGAGTGGATGGACAGTGCATTCAACGCTGCCATTCACATACCATGCAATATTTTACGTACATTTAATGGGCATTTTCAGTGCATAACAAGTGCATGCTATGTGCATGGTCATTGAGTAAAATGCATTTTCTCTCCTACAGGCAGTCTCTTTCACCTGTTTGACATCTCTCAACATATCTGACTTCATCTTGGCCGAAGAGGCTGAAGTCGTACTGTTTTTCTATCTCTAATCCAGTACAAAAACCCTCTTCCGCAAAGCAAAATATAGCGGTGAGAAAAATAGTACGATTTCTGACTTTTCGACTAAGCTAAAGTCAGATGTGATGAGTGATGTTGAATGGGTGAAGAGACTAGCTGTAGAAGAAGAGAGATTCATCAGATCGATCTTGAAACCTCTGCTGCCGCACATAACCTTACAAACCTTACATTCATCTCATATTAACTAAGCACAAAACTTGACGGATCACATCTTACCGGTCTTTTCTTCGGGATGCGATCCGTCCAAGTAATAATATCAGTCGTATTTGAACAAAAAAATGTATCTGAAGGTAAACAATAAGCAAAACGAATGAAGTACTGTAAACAAAGAAAGGAAACAGGAAATCTTTCTGATTGTAGAAAAGCCAAAAAGGAGAAAGCACTTCTGCATACGAGAGCGTTTTTCAGTATTTAATTCAAGGTGGTCGAAAAGTAGGAGGATCGAAGCCTTTTCGGAGAATAACTCTTAGTTTTAGTTTTTCCACATGCTCGCAACTTTTGTGAGTCAAAGAAAAACGCGGCTAAAGCACTTCGAAATTTACCGTTTATGTCGAAGAAAACCAAAGAGCTTTTGCGTAAGCAACGTTTCTTTCAAAAGTGAGAACATGACAAACTAAAGGTGGTTTTCTTCCACTTTATCAGTTAGTTTATGTCTTTGAGATTTTGAGAAACAGAATCGAAGGGAAGTTTAGTGAAGCATCCGCTTCTTTATTTTTATTATCTGTAAATCTGAAACGAAAACAGTAACGCTAATTAGAAAATAGTTCTATTTTCAATCACTGTCTGTTGTGGAAAGAGAACGCTGGGCTAGACAGATTTCTAACTTACTAAGGCTAGAATCTGCAGTTATGCTTTCCTTCAATTCCTACTCAAAAGATCATTTTCTTTTTCTGACTCAGTGCAGCATGGAAGGTCGAATCAACAAGACTTCAGAAAAAAAAGGACTTAAAGAGAACTAAATTGTCATTTCAACGCAAACTAGAGCAAGAGAGACTTTTGGCATTCCTATCACCAAGAAAAACTCTCAAAAAGCGTTGAAAATCAAAGTCTCCACGATGTGATGTGCAAGTACTTGATCAAACTGAAACGTGAATAGAAAATTTCCATGTCTTTAGTCATTATAGTCAGTGAAAAATCACTCACAGAGCTTTGCACGTTACAGCATATAAAGAAAAGTCCATGAATGATTTTTCACGTACTCTTCTGCCTGACTGCGAAAAAAAGTCCGTGATTTTTAGAATACGAAACTTACTTATTATTTTAATTTGTTTACGGACTTTTCTCAGAAACGAATTTACAGTGTGGTAGTTGCGAGAAAAGTAACGAAATAAGTTCTTTATTATCTACTGAGTGAAAAATTCGAGCAATCACAAGCAAGAATACACTATGGCGCTATAGTCGAAGTTTTAAGTTTCATTTAACGTTCGGATAGTTGTAATATATAAGAATAGCCAAAAATTAATCTATTCAATATCTTTGAATCTAAGCATGCGGTATGTGCAATCGGCGTAGAAACAACTTTTTCTGAGGCAATTCTTTTAGAAAAAAATGTTCCTGGTAGCTAAAAACATTGCACATTCAAAATCCAGAATTTGATACAAAAAGATGCAGAATTTTGTGCTCTATCGAACCACACTACCTTTCACATAAAAAAGAAATGATGGTTTCATTAAGACACAGCGAAGAAAACATGAAGCGAAAAGGTGGGTCGCACAACCATCTACTTCACAAATAAGTCACCTCTAATAGTCAACTTTCTTAGGCGCTTAGTTCGACAGCTTTCTGTGCATGATGAAAAGATGCAGGTACAATGGGCAGTGGAAAAAACTTTGATGTTGATTTCCTATTATATCTTGACTACAATGAATACTGACGTGTTATACAAAACAAAAAAATCGAAGAATAATTTCATCTCATCTCTTTTGCTACCTCTATGTTCCAATGGAAAGCTAGCTTTCATCCTTCATTTTCCTCTTTTAAACACACATTAGTAGATGGCGAAAAAGCGCAAAATAGACTTTTCGTTTTATTCTTCTTCTGTTATTCACCGACTTTCTATTCACTAGAGTGAATGGCAAGTAAATGATTTTATTCACTTCTTCTTGAAGTGAATGATACAAATTCATGTACATGGTACCTAGTGAATAACCAGTGAATAAGTGGCGCATTTGATATTCACTACAGCAAAAGCAAGTGCATTGATACACTAGATGGAAAGCGGATGTACTGCAAATGACAAGTACATGGACAAAATTTTGACGGAAATATGCACTGAATGAACATAACTTATACACTCCAAGCAAATGCTCTGTTCACTTCGAATGAATAAACTGTGGATAGCAAAAGATATTTTTTTGCAGTGTAGGTTTATGTGTTCATCAGTGTGGGAAAGATGGTGTTTCTCGATGTATGGTAGAGTTTGGTGAATGTTTTGCTGTAGAATGAAAACGTGTACGTTTTCTGCGTGTGTGAATGTATAGGGTGTACTTTACAGAAAGGGTGTTATCACTGAAAGAATTTTATGTAGTATAGTGTGAGGAATATATATGCAGTCAGTTGTTCTTACACAGTACATCTCTGACGTTAGTTTGTATTTTACATGGAAAAGTAAGTAGATGAATAAACGAACTGGGCGTGCGAAAAGTAAAAGAAGAGCAACTTACTCTCGAATTGTGAAATGTGAATATCACCTATTTCTGGTGTAAAAGCATCATTCACGTACCCAAAACAAGAAAGCATTTTTAGGTAGCGATACAAAATTCTCGTGAGGATAGCATAATATGGTACAGATCATATGCATCATTCTCGCACAAAACAGCATAATTCTCGTGTAAAACCATTATTCTCGTGGACTAGGCAAGAAAAAGTTTCTATGAAGAGATATAAAATTCTCGTGAAGGAAGCATAATATGTTTTGTATTCACTCATAATTCTCACACAAAACAGCATAGTTCTCGTGTAAAACCATTATTCTCGTGGACTAGGCAAGAAAAGGTTTCTATGAAGAGATATAAAATTCTCGTGAAGGAAGCATAATATGTTTTGTATTCNTTCTCGTGTAAAACCATTATTCTCGTGGACTAGGCAAGAAAAAGTTTCTATGAAGAGATATAAAATTCTCGTGAAGGAAGCATAATATGTTTTGTATTCACTCATAATTCTCACACAAAACAGCATAGTTCTCGTGTAAAACCATTATTCTCGTGGACTAGGCAAGAAAAGGTTTCTATGAAGAGATATAAAATTCTCGTGAAGGAAGCATAATATGTTTTGTATTCACTCATAATTCTCACACAAAACAGCATAATTCTCGTGTAAAACCATTATTCTCGTGGACTAGGCAAGAAAAAGTTTCTATGAAGAGATACAAAATTCTCGTGGATATAGCATCTTTCTCGTTGTGATAGCATAATTGCGGTCTCTCAATTTCTCTCCCACCCCTCGTGTGGGTCACCTGTTGAACTCACTTTTTTTTAAAATTGGAGTAAATTCAGTGATTCCAGTAATAGGGATGACCACCTTCAAGGTCAGAAGTTATCTGCAGTTATACAAAATGCCAATGATTGTCTATATGGTTATGACAGCGCGAATGACCAATTCTGCCCAGTGAGCGTTTCTTCACACTCTCACTCACAGTATTTTATCCATAATTCCATATCCAATGTAGACCCAAATTCTAATTTAAGTCACCAGCTACAACAACAACCATTAGTAACGTCCCGAATTCCAGAGACGTCTTCCACTTCAGCGCTGATGAATCAGCGTCATAGTTCGACTAGCGCAAGTGACTCACCGTTAGTGATTCACCAACAAAATTCGACATTTGTCAGTAACCATCGAACTGGGGTATACAACAGTCACAAACACAATATTGTGTACTGCCACAATTATCGACAGGGATTGAGGAGGTGTCCCAAAATGTCATAGATGATGGATATATCACGATTGGTGTAAAACGAAAATGTGGCAGGCAAGGTAACGCTATAACCACGATTGATAGCGATGAAGTATCAACTGAAGCTCGTCGCTTTGCCGAAACACGGTATCCATTCCCTTCTTTTTTTGTCAAATTTAAGGAGGATATTAGTGAAAGTAATGTGATTAATGAATTGAAACGATATAAGGAAGTCAATTATAATGTCCAACTGGAATTCGAGGGTTGCAAATTAAAAGGTAAACAAGAATTACTATTATTCGTTAAAAACCGCGAATCTTTCGTTATCCTTTTTGAATCGACGAACTGGCCATCGACATTATATTCCCTTGATTTCCAGTTAGTGGTGCCTCGTCGTTTACCACCTCAATTTTCTATTATGCTTCGTAACGTTGCTCCTGACATGGATACGAGTCAGCTATTAATGGAATTGCAACAAGATTATCCGGATATAATCAATGCATCTCGCATATTCAACAAAGACAATGGACAAACAACACTCGTTAGATTGGATATTCAAAGTGTTAAAATCATAGATGAATTACTAAGAAAAAAATTTGTATATTTGTGTCATACACGCCATCCGGTGAGTGAATATTTAGTCCCTGCTAAAGTGTTAGTGTGTTCAAAATGTTTTCAACTTGGACACTTCCGTAGCAATTGTCCTGAACAGCGCAATAGATGTAAAATATGTGGTTTGGAATTAGACGATCTCAAGAAACATCGCGAAGAAGATTGTGATAATCTGTCAAAATGTGCCAACGATTAGATCTTACCGTTCCGTATTAACAAAACAATTATTAAGAACAACCGAAACGAAACAGGTCAAGGACAAGGATAATGGAACCGCATTTCAACATAATAATAATGATTTTCCCCCAATGGATGCGATGGTGAACATCAATCGTAACAATAGAAACGGATGGGTAGATGGGAATAATGATGAACGGTTATCCAGATTAGAAAAAAATGTGGGTGAGAGGGGTGAAGAGATTAACAGACTACTAAAGGTTGCAGAACAACATGATGAACAACTACGTCAATTGCAGCATGTAATCCAGCATCAAGAAACCCGGCTAGAACAATATGCTCAAAATGTAACGCTACTTAACGTGGATATTAAATTTCATAACGAATTTTTAGGTCAGTTTATTACCCCAGTCGGCCAAGCGGTGCTAGAAATTATTCCAGCATTAGTCAATAAACAAACGCTGAATACAGACACGACAGCAGGGGTGCAGAATCTTCCAAAAAACCAAAAATTTCCTCCCCCGAGGAATTTTTTTCCAAAAAATTCCCCAAGCTGTTTTTGCTTCGCCCCTTACAGACCCACTTTATTTGACACAAAACAGAAGTAGAAAAACATGGCAACATTTTGTTCTGTTTGTACAACATAGGAATTCTTTCTACTTGTTCTTTTCTCAAGCGGTTCAGAACAACCGAACAGGTGAAACTAATTTGAATAGACGATACTGTTCTGTTTTTTTGAAGAAAATCCAGTGTTTGTCTTTCAATTGACAGAAGTAGTTGTTGAGAGAGGACTTGATGAATGGATCTGCTAGATGAAGCGGTGGTGCATTCGAATGTAACATCACCTCTTGGCGAGATTAAGGGTGGGGGGGGGGGGGGGGGGGGGGGGGGGGGGGGGGGGGGGGGGGGGGGGGGGGGGGGGGGGGGGGGGGGGGGGGGGGGGGGGGGGGGGGGGGGGGGGGGGGGGGGGGGGGGGGGGGGGGGGGGG